TATACCACATCAGATAGGGGACCAAATGTATCTCCCCAAACTCCACAACTGCATATGATGATATCAGTGGAAACACTACACATACACATGCTTTGACTGAGGATTTGTTTTGATTAAGTTGAGTGCTGAAGAGATGAATCAGTAGGACTGAAATCAATACATTCCATCTTTATATATGACTGATGTTTGACTAAAAGACTCCACACTATCAAAGTTTGATTGGGGCTTGTTGGCAATAGTCTGTATTGTAAAATAGAACATCTGTTTTCCTATTTACAGTATGCTTCAAATGTTTTTTTGTACTGTATTTTTTTTTCTCTTTATGTCTCAATTTTAGAGACTGTGAACTGAAACTAATGGAAAAATATAATCCCCAAATTCATTTTTCCTTCTTCTTTTAGAATGTGCCTAGTTTATCACATTTAAATAATAAATGTACAGTGTCAAGTATAGTTTATATGTATAAAGCAGATTTGAGAATCCTTAAGATGTCTAAACACAGTCTGTGGAATGCTGCATTTAATGTGTGATTTGTGGAAGATTAAATGATACTGAAATGGGACTGTCGTGTCAGTTTTTCACTTTTTCCTATAGAAGCCAACATAAATCAAATTTTAACCAAATGGGTATGTATTATAATATGCTGTGTGTATATTTATATATGTGTGTGTAACTAAATATTAAAGCTGAAATCAATATCATATAATTATAATACATAGTGTTGTAGTTATAGAAGGAAATGCAGATACATATATTAGATATACATTTTATATCAAAGGAGTTGGCCAATTCTAGACTCAGAGTCCCACATTTTGATTGAGAGCACACACTGAAGTAAATACCTAAACTAGGTGCATTTTTCAAACGTTGTGTCACCTGTGTGTCACGGTGGACGGCTGTGGTGAAAGAGTTACAGAGCTGATCTGTTGGCACAGAATATTGATCTTCTTCACCTCTTGCCCCCAGTGTGCTGAGACATAACAAGTCGCAGGTGGTTAATAATAATGAAAGGACTAAGCTGCTGTGAATGCATGGCTCACCCAAGAATGAATGAATGTATGGTCTTTGATCCTATTGACATGACCGTCATAGGAACTAATTAGCCGAGAGCGGGGACTCCCTGCTGAATTTAGCCTCTTTCAGGTTCTTTTACTCTCATCAATGAATACCTACTGCTTACAGCTCATACCAGTATATACACACATAGATATGTAGATATATTTGTTTTTTTATTTTGAAATTAACCAATATATTAATATAATTGCTGACAAATAACTAACATATTAAAACGTAATTGGTACAATGACAGGAATTAAAGCTTACAGTAAAATACAACATCATAATTAACTGTTTTCCCCATTTACAAGAGTTTATATATTATTAATACTGCTCATTTCACAGCTGTTCCACTGGCCTATAAGAAGCTGCCCACCTTTGGGTGTAATGGTGATTCATTAAGACTTCCTCCAGTTGATTCATTTGTTCCTTTCAACCCTTCCTAACAAGCTGCCTGTCTTTTCAGTTCCTCCATTTAATGAACCTTTAATCACGTCACCTGCTGCTTGGAAGAAAACATAATTCATATATGAGCTGAATAAACTCTTTAAAACTCCAGATAGAAGGTAGCTGTGTGTGTAGGTTGGATTATGGCATGCATGGGACTATTGTCAGCTAGTGTGTCTCTTTAGGTTTGTTCCATGCAGGGAATAAATATAGTGACACCGAGGCAAATGGACGTGGGTTGTGACGTTACATCGAATAAATTAATCCTTTAAGCAAAAGAACCTGTAAAGGGGTTTTTCTTCACAGGGAAACTTTGAAGTTTGCTTTTGTGTGCTGCATTATAAAACATTAGACTTAACTCTCTCTGGATACTGACAGATGCAGCTATAAGAAAAGATGCCTGGATCACTGCTATCATACTCCTCTGTGCTGAGATCATCTTTCTTGATATTTTTGACTGTATCTTTATTTGTGCTGCTGGATTCAAGAGAAACTCAAGACCACCCTGAGGTAAGGTACAACTTAAAAGTTTATTTTTAAATGTGTGAGTTTATTTTGCATTTTTTATTACATGTACTACTACAACAGATTATATTTGGACATGAATTTCCCATGTTTGTCAACATTTTAAATGGTAAATTTCTATATTATATATTATATATTTAGTATAAAAAACGTTGATAGAGGTGAATTTATTCAGATTTCTTATTCAAATAGAGCATAACACACATAAGTTTATACAGTTTGGCATTTTAATGTCTAATGAAATAATGAAACTAAAGCACACAGTAACAATAATACCCTGTTTCAGGATCTCAGCATTAGAAACAGATTAAGTTAATTATTTCTGCTATTAACCTTAATGGAAATCAATATGCAGTATATCATTATCAATCAATTACTTAATCAGACTTTATTTGCATTTCACCTTTCATGCAGGTTAGTATATATGGTTTTGTGCTTTAATTTGTACAAAGTTTCAATTTCTTTTGCGCCAAATGGTCAAATATTGCTATTGATATTCCTAAAATATACTTTATTAACATTGTGCAAAATCAATAGGAAACAATAATTGCTTACATGTTCATAGGATTATTTGGATAGTTACCCACCACACCTCATCTCCAGTCCTTTGGAAGCCGATGGTAGACCCGGAGGAGACTTTAAATTTGGATCCAGGGATGGCCATACCTTCCCCCAACAAGTGGACTCTGCATTTCTCATGGAGGACGAAGCGCAGACTACTGTGTGGCCACGCGTGATCCTGGATTATATGAGGCACCAGCTAAGGTTCAGAGGAAGGACCAAGAAAAGCACAATAAAGGATGTACTTAGCAGTTTATTGGATAATGAAAGTAAAATTAAATAGTAGAAGAGTTTAATCTAATAAATTATTGTTCAAATACCGAACCCTTTCACTGCGACTTTTTTTTTTTTCACTTATTGCTTATGAATTGTTTTTAATGACATGAATGTTATGTACATATTAAAGACAATGGGTTAGATAACCTGAATAACCCCAAACCATTTGTTGTATTTAATAACGCTTCATTCTCACTCACATAACTTCATCTTCATTTCTAGGCCAGTGGTCCCAACATTTCCAAAGATAACCAAATATGACAGATTAAAATAATGGACAAAAAAAATGGTGCAGCCATTAAACAACAACAAACAACAACAACAACAACAACAACAACAACAACAACCATGGAGTCTTGGGTTTAAGAAATTCCTCAATATAATAATTCACTTAGAGGCCGGACTGGATACAGTGAAAGTTATAATCCCCCTAGTAACGGGGAAACAGATAAAACCCTGATCCGTTGATACCAGTTGGTGGCGGTAAAGCGCCATTTTGTTGTTTCCCTGCCGCCGCAACAAAAAAACACCAAGAAGAAGAAGAAGAAGAAGAAGAAGAAGAAGATCGTCCAGGCAAATAATAGCCGAGGTATCAGTGTTTCTTTATATCGTACCACATCGATGGTGGTTGAACTAGTAAGACAGCGTTTGTTCTATGATGTAGAAAACAAATGGTTTCTTCCATAATACGAACTGGAGCGCTAATGTAGCCTATTAGCCAACCGCTATATAGCAGCCCCGCCACCGTTAGCTAGTTGGCTAACACACGCCACAAAAATAACGTATTGTGTTTGTTTAGACTTTAGAGGCCACACCTTTACCTCCCGTCATGTAACAATATTTATCTTAAGTGCTTTGGTGATTTTGATATAACTATAAGGCCAACACTATCAGTAAAGTTGTGAAACACCAGGACCAAAAGTTACATTTGAGTCTGCATCACAAATTGCTAACCAAGTGATGCCTCCTTGTTACCGTGCGTGCTTGGCTACCAGCAGCCTCTGGTATAACGTTAATACTGTGCCCATAATAATATCATCAAGTTTATTTTTTATTTTTTTGCAAAGACTATGATCACAGGCCTTTATTTATAATCCTGCCATAACACATCGTGGCTTAAAGTTGCCTTTCTCTCTGCATGAAGATGGGAGACAGTGATGATGAGTACGATCGCAGGAGAAGAGACAAATTCAGACGGGAGAGAAGTGACTATGACCGTTCAAGAGAAAGAGAGGACAGACGCAGGGATGACTGGAATGACAGGTAAGACAGACAGATGTGTGAGAGTGCCTCATCTGCAACACAATGCAGGTAAATGGTGGTTCTGTGGTGCTCTCACAGAGTGTAACTAAGTGGAAGTTAATGGATAATTTGCGAGTTATTTTCCTATTTAATGTTTCCCACTGTTTCCTGAAAATCCAGGGAGTGGGACAGAGGCAGGGAACGGCGTAGCCGAGGAGAGTACCGGGATTATGACAGAGGTCGCAGGGAGAGGTTCACCCCACCAAGGCACGACATGAGTCCCCAGCAGAAACGCATGAGAAGAGACTGGTGAGATTAGCAGCAACACGAAGGCACAACCTTTGCAACTGGAGTCTGCTGTTGTTTAAGATCTTTTATCTGTCCCTGGCAGGGATGACCATGGTGGAGACCCTTACCGTGGGGGATATGACTTGGGCTATGGTGGTGGAGGAGGGCCCAGCTACGGCCCACCACAACACTGGGGCCATCCTGACTTACATCTCATGCAGCCTCATCATGGCATCCCCATTCAGGCAAGGTAAGAGATCAGGGTTGAGTGAGCCTGGGTTTTGTAGTTAAATGTTGTCCAATAATAACTCTGCTGACCCATCCAAAACGTTTCTCTTCCGTTAGACTTGGAAACATCCATGACATGGATTTGGGCCCACCCCCTCCCATAATGAAGAGCTTTAAGGAGTTCCTGCTGTCCTTGGATGATTCTGTGGATGAGACTGAGGCAGTCAAGCGCTACAATGAGTACAAGATCGACTTCCGCCGGCAGCAGATGCAGGACTTCTTTCTGGCTCATAAAGATGAAGAGTGGTACGATCTCAGTTGCCTTTACTTAATAAGCCAGAATCATGAATATTAATAGTAGATTTTAATGTAGTTGCTCTTAAGCCATTCTTTTCATTTAATTATTATAGTTATTTAATCTGTGATTGTCATCACCAAATGTTTACAGTCGCTCTCTTTTGGTTTTTGTTTCAGAAAATTATTATTTTAGATGTAATTGCTTTTTTTAATAATCTAATATGTTGGGCCTGGTCCTATGGTGGGTGTGTCATGGGATATTAAGGTCATATTTATTTGATTGCTCTACAATACCTTTATAATATAATATAATACCTCCACAAGCCTTTTAACATGTTCCAGGGGCTTGCCAAATAACCCAAGGACAGTTCCATCCATGTACTGGGACCAGACCCACAGTCAGTTTGACTTTTGTTACAGTACTTGTTATTTATAAGAGAAGAAAATCAACCCAAATTCAACCCTAGTGCACATATTATTGTTCTGCAGTGAACCAACTCTTCCTTCTTCATTATGTTGTGCAGTAAATCAGTAAATGCACATGTCTCTAAATTCTATTCACAATCACATAACTGAAAGATTTAAGTCATTTTCTTTCTTTTTTTTTTTTTATTCACTTACATTTGTTTTTGACCAAAAACTTGTTTGGGTTGGTTTTCTTTCACTTACTTTTAACCTTTCACAGTTGTATAATGTCTGTTAATGCTTATTACACTTATTTCACAGGTATCATGCAAAATTGTTCTGTTTTGACATAACCATTTTTCCCCCTTCATTCCCACTACTACGTTGACAGCGTTTCTTTTGAAGATGAGAAAAAGTGGAACTCATCAGCAAGAATCGGTCTTAGACAGCAAGGGCATGCACTGCGCACAATGCAGTTGCTCTTAGACACACAGTATCAGGGATCTTAGATAGACAGTCAAACAGTCTTGCGCACGTGGAGATTTTTTTTCTTGTTTTATGCTTTTTCTACACCATTTTCTTTTTATATTCGGATCAAATCGAATCCCAAAACCGAATTTGTGTGTATACAGACACACCATTGGGGTGAAGTGGAGCGCATTTTCACAGAAGAGACCCCCTCTCTGTATTTATTTGTTAATAAACTGGCAGAACAAAAGGTAACTGTAGTCCACTCAATGATCAACATTTCTAATGTGAAATTCTGATTCTATGTGAATGCTTAATTTTATAATCTCTCTGTTGTGTTTTTCCCTTATTTTTTGGTGAGTTAATCCCAAACTTTCTAATAATGTGCAATAACTAGCTGCAATAATCACAAAGTAATAACATGCATACACTGAAAGACCTAACACAAGGACTAGAGCTATATAAAAATACAGAAACAATTGCAATCATAATTATGATAATCTTGATAACCTGTCTAGAGACTTCAATTCCACTGACTGAATTTGGGATTTTTTAACTTTTCCCAACAAACAACTACAACTTCTTATTTGTAGAAAATATGGTAAAAAGAAATTGTAATATGCAAATAAATCATATTCCTCAGTGCCACTGTATTGAAACCACAGTTGCAACATAGATATATAATATGCATTTGTTCTCTAACTTTTACATCCCGTTCATCCCAACCCCCATCATTCCCTCCCCACTTTTTTATGGACCCCAACTCTGGACACAGGTTCAGATCCAAGTATCACCCAGATGAGGCCAGCCGACTTAAAGCAGAGGCCCAGAGTGCCCTGCACAACCGTCTGAATGTCTTCGTGTTCCTGATGGAGAACAGCTGGTTTGATAATGTCTCCCTGGACATTGAACAGACCCCAGCCATCATCAAGGTTCTGGATGCAGGTGAGACGTCAAAAATAATTTAGAGTACTGGTGATATGTGGAGTCCAGTCTTTCGAATTCTGTCTACATTGACCCATATTTCCCCCTTGTTTGTCTTCAGCTGTGATAAAGATGGAGGGAGGAACAGATCACGATCTTCGCATCTTGGACCTTCCATCTGAAGAGGAGGAGGAAAGGGAGAAGTTGGCATCTGTTTCAGGGGGTGCTGAACCTCCCAAGAGAGAAGACCTCAAAGCCTTGGATGGTGACCGCAAACCTTTAATAGAGAAGGACAAAAATGAGAAGGTATGTTTTGTTGTCTGTCAGTGCTTGCCGGGTTGTAGAGATTTCACAGCGGTGTGTTGATGACAGTAAACTGTGCCGCAGGAGGAGGGCGACTCTGCCAGCACAGAAAAAAATGCTGCAGCTGAAGGAGAGGATATGAAAGAGGAGGCAGAGAAAGAAGCTGCCAAAGAAGAAATGCCTGAACCCAAGAAAGTAAGTGTTGCTTCCATTATTGAAATTATTTGCTAACAAGAGACAAGAATGATCCAAATGGCGCTCATTGTTCTTATTTTTCAGCCAAGACGAAAGAGGAAGCGCAGTGGAGACAGCGACGATGAAGGCAGTGCCTCAGAGAGTGACTCTGACTCTGATTCAGACTCAAATTCCAACTGCTCTGATAAACCTGTGAAAAAGGAAGAGGTGGAAGACAAGGATGAGGAGGAAGAGGAGGGTGAAGGTGAGGAATCAAATTCATAGCATCTGATTTTTATCTTCAGAAAGACTGTTTAGTTCCCAACACTTCGCTCTCTCTGTTCTAATGATGAAGAGGAGAAACCAAAGGAGGATGCTGAAGAGGACAAGAAAGAAGAAAAGAAGCCAAAAGACGACTCTCCCAGACCGCGGCCTCTGCACAGGACCTGCTCTCTGTTCATGAGAAGCATCGCTCCCACCATTTCCAAGGCTGAGATTATTGCTGTGAGTAGAACACAGGCAGCAGTGTTAATGGCCCAGGAGATGTAGTGGCAGTCATTCGTGTCGTTGTTTTAAACTCCACAACCTTATTGTTTTTTCTCTCTCAGCTGTGCCGGCGATACCCTGGCTTTCTGCGTGTTTGCTTGTCTGACCCCCATCCAGAGCGCAGGTTGGTTTAAAAACATCCCACGTTCTTTTAATTTCTCACTCTGATGTTTAATGGATTCATTCAGTGAAGCAGGAGACTACACTCGATTACACAATAATGTTTTAATGAACTCTGTGCTGCTGCAGGTTTTTCAGACGTTGCTGGGTGACGTTTGACCGCAGCGTCAACATCAAAGAAGTTTGCTGGAACCTTCAGAATATTCGAGTAAGCGTGCCAGTCTTGCTTTCAAGTGATTGTGTTATGCAGCATAGAAGAAGATAACTTTTGGATATGTGTCATGCAATGGAATATGTGGATATATGCCCTAACACTAATGTAGATTGCGTTTTTATTTCCTATCTTTTTCATTTTATTTGATCTAAGATGTAATTACTAAACATTTTTGTCAGATAATCAGTCCAATCTGTATTTAAAAATCATATTGGACTTAGGGGAGCCTTGGCTTCTTTGCATCTGTTTTTATTACTCGTGTAATCTCCTAAATAGCAGTTGAGGCCATTGAAACTAATTTTTACTCTACTACCTTTCACAGCTGCGAGACTGTGAACTGGCACCGGGGGTGAACAGGGACCTGGCCCGGAGGGTGCGTAATGTTAATGGCATCACTCAGCACAAGCAGGTTCTCCGCAATGACATCAAGCTGGCTGCCAAGCTCATTCATGCCTTGGATGAGAAAGGAGACCTGTGGAGCATCAAGTTCCAAGAAGAGGGGCGGAGCACAGAGGTACAGCGCTTGTCAAGTTCATGCATTTACGTGTGTGTAAGTCTGTACAATTTAAACAGACTACTCTCACATGGAATTGCTGTCACTGAATTGATTAATTCATGTGTGGTTTGTGATTTCAAAAGTTGCCAGCTCAGAACCCCATCTTGAAGAATATCACAGATTACCTGATAGAGGAGGTGAGTGCTGAGGAGGAGGAGCTCCTAGGCTCCGGGAGTGGGATGGATCCTGAGGAGAGCGCCAAGGAGGGAAACCCTACAGAGACGACTGTGGAGAGGGATGACAAACTGGCGAAGGTTTGACCTTTGCAGTTATGTGTACAAATGCTGCACAATTCCGTATTATAACAACGCTTTTTTGTTATCCTTGATGTACTATTATTGTCAAAGTAGTAGTAAATCAAATATCTATATTCAGTCTTTATGAAATGTACCATTCACCTCGTTCCAGGTTTTGGATCGTCTGGTCTTGTATCTTCGTATTGTCCATTCAATTGACTACTACAACACCTGTGAATACCCCAGTGAGGATGAAATGCCCAATCGCTGTGGCATGATCCATGTACGTGGACCCATCCCTCCTAACCGCATCACACATGGAGAAGGTCAGTGCGTTTCCCTTGTGTCATGTAACATGGAAGAGTGTACTCGGAAGAGAGAAAGTAAATATGTTGATTGTACAAGAGAAGCTTTGATGCAAAAATGTGTTCCTGTTCAGCTTTGGAGCTCTGGAGTTGTATGTATGTATGTATGTACTATTGTAGCTCTTTACTAGTTAATAATTTTGTTGTGTTTGAACTACGTTTTACGACACTGTTTTGCCCACAGATTCTTACAGTTGAACACAGTTAAACATCCTAGATGTTTTTATGTATTTTACATGCTTTACAATGTACAATATAACAATCAATTTGGAAGTTGTAGTATTGTGTATCTAAAAATATGTGTAATATCTGTGGAAAATACATTTTGTATAATGACACATTGGTGGCTTGATGAGTTAAAGTCTGTATTGAGTGAAAAACCTTATGGTTTTAAATCATTCTTATAACCTTTTTAACACCTGTCACATTTTCCTGGTAACTTCAAACAGTGCAACAATGGCAGAAGATGATGGAAGAGAAACTGAGTCCTTTGTTTAGTTTAAAAGAAATCCTTTCTGAGGAAGAGGCAGCAAAGATGGGCCGCAAAGATCCTGAGGATGAGGTGGAGAAGTTTGTGTCTGCTAACACTCAAGAGCTGGGAAAGGACAAGTGGCTCTGCCCACTAAGTGGCAAGAAATTCAAGGTGAGCACTTGGACTGTACAACATATTGACGTGTTTTCGACTAAGCCTCTTCACATTTTGGTGATTTCTTTCTGAGGACATGTACATTAGTGCATCGTCATTCAGCGCTGAGTGACGCTAAGACTTTCTCAATTTCTAACAAATTTCAAGGGCCCAGAGTTTGTACGGAAGCACATCCTGAACAAACACGGCGACAAAATTGAAGAGGTGAAAAAGGAAGTGACGTTCTTTAACAATTTCCTGATGGACGCCAAGAGACCATCTCTCCCAGAGATGAAGCTTCCTCCTCTTCCAGGACAAGGTCAAGGTCGGCGCAACATTTATTCTGCTCAGATACAGAACTAGAAGCATTTTGAGTAACAAAGACTGTCTGAATAAATAAAGTTTACAGTGGTGCACCATGGGTTAAATAATGAAATCGTATTTTGTTCGACAACAATACAAACTGTTTATTTTTTATCCTACAGGTTTGCTTTCTCCCAGCATGCCGTTTCCTCCCCAAGGTCCTCAGGGTCCAATGGTCTTTGGACAGCCTCGTCCACCACTGATGGGCTATGGTGGTATGTTATTAGAAATGACTATACTTTGAATTGTGTTTTTCAGTCGGGCCGCTACCATTGTGTTGATTTTGACACCTTCTTTTCAACAGGCGGACCTCCTTACCCCCCCAACCAATATGGAGGAGGCAGAGGAAACTATGACAACTTCCGCGGACAAGGTGGCTACTTGGGGAAGCCACGCAACATCAGGTGAGACCACTGTACGTGTGATCTTTATTTTGCTATGAGCTTTTTTTGCTATTGGAGAATTTTGAACCTCTTTTTACGATCATTTCTATTCTTCTTTGTTCAATCATCTCAGAATGTCACGAGGTGACCCACGCAACATCATTGAATATCGCGACCTGGATGCACCAGATGATATGGACTTCTTTTAGAAAGTCACTCTGCCCTTTCAGTCTCCACCCTGTACCACTGTTGTTTTTCTGCTTGCTTTCTGTAGTAATTAGGTTATTTCTTTTCCTAAATATTTTTTTGGTAATTATTGTGCAACCAGAACAAACATTTGTTGTAAACTGCTTCCTCAATAAAGATGTGATCTAACTTTATTCATATGTATTTGATTTATCAAATATAATCTAGTTGTGTGTGACTTAAAACTGACCAGAGCAGCCAAATGATACAGAAAAGCAGCCTGTAGAGTAGTATCTCTTGTAGAAAAAACAAGATACTAACTAAGAAATGAATCCCAGACGCCTCCTTGTATCCCTCAGTGGTCAGGTCTGCGTTTAAGAACTTGGGATCATGGTTAGCGTCAAACAGGTCAGTGTGGGGGTCTGATAATGAACATCAATCTTTCTATTAATCTACAACAATTACATGTTGCAGATTAATAGAAATATTTAATTTTTAACAGTATATTGTGGTGTGTTGTACATTTGTGCTCATGATTTTTTCTGGGACAGATGTTTGGAGACCCCAAACCCTCCTGGTGAAGGAATTGAAGCAGATAAATGGTTGCCCTCTACTGGATAAACCATTGAATTACATGTCTTCAGGCCCTTTAGGTTGACACAGCTGCTTACTAGGAATCTGTAGAATCCTTGCAATGGTGAAAGAAATACTTAATATTTTCAGTAATGTACAAATAAACCACTTACAAATAAAAAAGTTATTCTGAAGTTGGTCCTTACACTCCCTGTATTCATTCCTTCTGGGGTGTCATTTACATAATGAATGCAAATGAAACACATTTTGACGTAAGCAATAATTTATTTGACGCATGGTGCCTTTTCACAACACGTCTTTAGATATTATGTATCAGAAATACACAAATCCATAGGTGGGTTCATGACAAATATAGCATACCAAGACATCATCAGTGTTTTCACTGCTTTTCAAACAGCATTCCCACACAATGGGCATCACAGCTTAATGATTATTTAACATCCATGTTAAATAATTTCAAATACAGGCAGAACGTACAGCATGAGCAAAGAAACCTACCTACATCGATCTATATCAAGTTCATCACCACATCAGATCCACTGTATGAGCCACACTAAAAGCAGCAAAGAAAACCAGCTACACAGTTCATGTTGAAGAGAAATGTCTAAATGATCTGAAGCTTGTGACTTTCAGGAAGTCCACAGCTGACCTTGTGTTCATGGAATAACTTGGACAAGGCCTCCATGTAAAGTCTGTGATAGTGGTCGACCTCCTCCTCTGTAGGAATGACACGCTTTGGCACTGAGATCGGACTTCCCACTGGAAGAAGCAGAGTGTTGGAATATAATGGGCTTGGTGCAACAAGTTAGGCCTATATACAGAATAATGAAATACTCACCAACAGTAGTGATTGGAGTCCTGTAGGGCATGAAAGCCAAACGCTCACCAACAAATAGACATGGGGCGAAACCCATAATCTTTTTGAACAGGTCTTGTAGCCTCCGACCTAGACTACCATCAGAGAAAATCACCTGCTGAAAGAGCTCATTCTCTCCGAATGAGTAAACAGGCACCAGATCAGCCCTGTGGACGATAATCACAGATATTATCAGTGTGTCCCGTAGTGAGCACAATGATACCCACTGACTACTGTGTGTTTTTAACAGTATTCTCACCCAAACTCAAGGGCCACCCTTACAAATCCTTTTCTCTGCCTCATGACCACTGTGTTGAGTCCAGGAGAGGATGCCAGAGACTCAGCAGCGCCCCCTATCACAATCACCACTGCATTACCCTTGCCTCTCTTTGAAAGGAGGTGGGCAAGGCTCGGTTTGCTGACTGGATAAAGACCTGATCAGACAAAGTGAGACAGTAACAGCAGTTTAGTTCAACTGATGGAGATTGTGGTCTTGGTCCAATTTACAACTTATACTAGTGTGATGTACAAACTTGAAGCCACCAGTGCACATACACAGACTTTACAGTGAAGTAGGAGGCATCTTGTGTCCAGCAGGAAAACTTGAATACAAATTAAATGTTAATGAGGAGCAGATGCCTTTTAAAGGATTTTAATGTGGAAATTTATATATACTTTTTTGTGGAAAAAACACAAGATGTGTGTCTTGTTCCTGGCACACTATTTGTATTATGTCTTAATAATTGACTGGAGGGGATCTATAAAGACAAGAACAGGAAGGCTTACATGTTAAATATGGTTGATGTCAAAAGTTGAGACTGAGATGAGCATGTTTTAAAATACCTGCACTTATTATGTACTCCCTAAAGAGTGGTATCCTGAAAAGTCCTCCCAGTATCGCCAGGGAGGATCTCACGCCGGGAAACACCTCAGTGAAGCCACAGCTCTCTGTGCTGAAGCAGGCAAAGGCTCCAGCACTCATGATACCATGAGGGTGACAACCCAAGATGTAGTTCTTGTTTGGATTCAACTCGGCTGTCTTCACCAACTGTGCAAGAATTGACAGAAGAGGATTAAGTCATTGATTGAAGTCAATCTCTGTTAACCATAAAACCAAACCCACTTCAGCTGTACATTATCTCACTGAATGAGAGATTAAAAAACACAACAAAACAAAAACTGGTTCTTTTGGGTGTTTTACTGGGAGAACTGATGAAAGCAATGCCGATAAAATGCCTCCAAAATTAAACACTCATTACAAAAGGTTTTTATCATATAGTTGTATTACAATAACTGTAGTTGATAAAGAATCTAAGCATATAATACCAGAAATATCAGTGTTTTATACTTCCCAGCATTTATAGAGTGCAACGAGTACAGACTCTTACCATTAACTGTTTACAAAAATTAAGTCTGAAAAGATTTGAGAGGATATTGGAGTTGTTCTGTATGAACTGTACACAAACCATTTTGTTTTTTAAGAGCTAACATTTTAAAATAGTTCTACTACAGTGTCCTGTCATTATTAAATCACTGTCACGTCCATGCGTTCCTATAAATTGTCTGAAATCGGATAATAAGAACACCAAAGGTGATGCAGGCATTTCAAGATACAAAGTAAAACTCACTTTGATTGGAAAAAAATCTCTGAGGTGCTCCCATACCCTCCAATTCCTCACGAATGTTGTTCTCCTGCCCCCTGATGGAGAGATTAGAAATCTTAGAGACACTGGGTGTGTCCAAATTTCACACTACACACTAACTGTATAGCCTACAGTTTGTTTTATGTACTTATTGTTGTAGTATACTGTTTTTGCAGTTGGTATGCAAAAAAATCAACATGGCCTGTGTCCAAACTACATAGTACACAACAGATTCGAAGCAGGTTTTGAGTATGTAGTGTGTTCTCACTGGAAAAGTGACCAAATAAAGTCAAAAGAGTCAGTATATACACTGATAAACCCTGAGTATACTGTTTATGGGCACTGGTCTCCCACAATGCAATGCACAAGGGAACTGAAAGAAAATTTAAAACCATTTATGTAAATGGATGGAACAGGAACTCCTCAGAAAACTATTTAAAAAAAAAACTGTAAATCTTTGCTCTCTCTTAAAGTTTATTTTGACCTGTTGCACATAGCATATACTCTATAACATTAGTATGTAGTATGATCAATGTTTTATACCAACAGGAAAGGATCAAACTATGATATTATAGTTCTTTATGTTTTTGGAGGTATTCACACATCATGGGGAGATTTATTGAGTTGTTGATGGAAGTAGTCCATCAACAACTCAATAAAAATAATTTAGTGTACATACTGACTTTTTAAAATAAACTCCTATACTTGTCAACCCTCCAGTGTGAACACACTTCAGAGCCTGCTTGTCATTAGTAAATAGTTTAGAAATGAGTGTGTATGTGCATGATTCTTTGATTTACATGGATACTTAAGTTGTGTATATTTCTTTACCTCTTTCAGGGGTGTGCCAGTCCATCACCATCCATATGAAGTACAGAGTGGAGAGTGGCCACAGTGAGGTAAACATCAGATACATCATCAAGATAATACAAGCCACTCCTGAAAAATATTTTGAATTGTTAAGATATTAATGAATACAGTGTTGTTTTACAAATGCAGTGAAAAGCTTGTGAGCTAATGTAGCTATAGCAAATATTATTTGACTTATTTTCTAAAGTCATGTTATACATGTTCATAAAGGTTAAGGGTAGTGGGATCTTACCTAAGAAGATAAAGCTTAGGACCCATTGCAGAACACTTACTGCCTCTAAAAACTCCTTCCACTGAGTTTTTTCTTTAGTCATTCCTGCAACCTGGAGGCCATACCATCAATTTTTAGTGGTTAATAACATTTTAAACTGTGCTTTCATTCAGTAAAGGTCACGGGTATATAAGTTCTATAATTAATGCCTGTAGAAAAGACAAAAGTTGCTTTATCTGAGTTAATAATTAAATGTATGATAGATGTCTTTATGATAGAGATCAGATTCCATTAGTAATCAGCACTTCAGCTTGTGATCTTAATCCTCCTTTAGGGAAGTCATAGTCTTAAAAACTTGCAAGCCATGCAGCAGTCTGATGAAAGTACTTACTTATGAACAAGCTGACAGGCAAACCAAGACAGTGGGGGTTTTTAATTTGCTTACAAATAAAACTTGTCAACCAAGCTTGAACAAGCACAAAACACCTCTGGCTAAAAGTCATTAAAACAACATAAAACAACGTTTAATGTTTATACAGCTGAGCATAAAACATCATACTTTACCTTCTCAGAGTTTATTCCAATGTTAATTTGAATGGATGCAGATTTACCAGTTCAGGAAAAGCACACAATGCAGGATGCACTTTGACCAGATCATGTTAAGCTGCTGATAACAAATCCACTCCCCAGATACTTTGACACACAGGCAATGTCAGAGATAAACATGACATAGTTTTATAGTTAGATACTCTGTGTATTGGATCTGTGTAGCGTCCTCTGGAGGACTTGCAATGGTGTCATTATCAGATCATGTCATGTGTGGTGTCTCTTTTGCATTTGGTTGCTCTAGTGGCCAACAAGATTGGTGTCAGTCTGTTCTGCTGCTATTATTCAGCTTAAAGTGATCTGGATCAACATTACAGTACAGTTACTGTTTTTCTCTACCAGAAATAACCAATAAGAAATGTTCTTCTTGATCACTGATAAATGTGGATCATTTCCATGTGCTTTCTCTATGTTAAGCTGCTGTTAGTGAAACCCAACACTTCCTGCAGATGTTTCACAATACAAGCCTTTTTGAAAGTGAAGGGATTCTGCAGCCTGGACCAGTCAAAGGCTTTTATTGTGAAACTGAGTGAGGAAACAGTAGCAACAGCCTCGCCATTCCTGCTGCATGCTGTCTGACTTACTGGGACACTTAATTCAATGGAGTCTTTGTAATGTTATTATTCACACCTCTGCTTTTCCTGCTTTGACAGGTCAAAATGTCTGCTGTGAAAAAAAAAGGTCCTACCTACCCACACAGGTGTTTTCAGTTACCCTGGATAATTAGCTCTCTAGTCAGGTTGAAGTTGGGTGGAGCTTTGCTGGGACTTATGGGATGTTGCCAACCTCTGTGAGCCAATAAGAGTAGTGACAGTGTAAGTTTACCTGCCCTGACAGGTGCAACAAACTGAACAGCAGTGTGAGGGAGATGCCAGTCAAGTGCAAATTGCCCATGCCCCCACACAGTCCTGAGAAGAAGTCCAATCGGGAAAGAGAAAACACCTGTGTGTGTGTGTGTGTGCGTGTAAAATCAAATGATAGTAAATTCTGATTTATTTTAGAATATGTATAGAAAAGTAAATACAGACTGGACTATCTATACCCTACAGCTTTAATACTAGATAATGGCCAATCACAATAAATATTATTTATTGATAATAAGCATATAATATAGTACTGTGTATGTACTAAACTTATATATTATTTATAGTTATTATGTATTACACTTACATTCATTATTGACTACTCTCACCAGGTGGGACATTTGGGCTTGCTGCACCAGACACCAGCACAATAATAGTGTGGACAATTGAGTCCCATGTCTTCATTCGGTTACCTACTTTAAATTTCGTTGACCAATCTCTAAGGGAAGCTGAATCAATCATTGAACTATTTAGATGTGGACTTCAACTTTCATACTCTGATATCTGGACACAGTGCACAGCTATCTTTGTAGCAGCGACAGTCCAAAGATTCCTCTGATAAAAGCCTACATGATTAGTGGCCTGTGTTTGTCAAGAGGGCTCACTCCTAATCTCTTACTTGGTTGTTAAAACTCAGTGTTTAAAGGACCAGTGTGCAGGATTTAGTGGCATCTAGTGGTGAAGCTTCAGATTACAACTAACCGAATACAGCTCTTGTCTTTATTTGACGGCCTGGGAATGAGAAGGAACTGTGAAGTGTGAAGGAGAAACAACTGTGGATGGGAAACATGTGAAGGGTCCTATAACTAGAGCCAGAGTTTGGTTTGTCTTTTTCTGGGATACTGTAGAAACATGGCAGTCCAACATGACAGCGTCTGTAGATAAAAACTGCTCATTCTAAGGTTACAAAAACACTCCTTTATTCCGGTGTTTATACACTAATGAAAACATAGCTATGAGTATTATATTACAGTTCTGCCAATAGATCCTTCTCAATGTTACACACTGGACCTTTAACTGGCTCAGCTGTCCTCACCTATACAATCTCCCATAGACTTTAGGGGGCGTGCCTACTGCACACAGGCCATGTGTTGGCTAGTTTGTCATGTGACACCTCGCCCCCAAAAAACACCACAATTATATGCTCATGGTTAGTAGGTTACCCCCATAAAAGGGAAAGAAAATACATAATGTTAGACGGCGTTTTCCTTTGTATAGACTCACTTCACTTCCGCACTTTCTTAGTCAGATCCCATTTTATTTATTTTTTTAAGCTGTAATTGAAATGACTGGTCACCCAGACACAGTCCAAACAAAATGTCATACCAATATTCCTATGACGGCTTAGCCTACTTTATGTCCGTGGTGCTCATGGGTTTATTTCGAGCGCATTTTATACTTAATAGTATTTTATCCCCTAACGCTCCGATAATACACTTATATGTGACAGTTGTGCTTTGTCTCTGTCTACCCTGGTATTCTTGATAACTAAATGTTTGTCTCGGTTTGTTTAAAGTTTAAAAAAAAAGAAAAGAAATCACCCGCCACTTTTTATCCACAATCCATCCGGACATTTAAAGAGTCTGCCGCTGAATCTCCTGTGAGTCGTGGAGGGAGGATTTCATGTCAGCCAGCTGATAAAAAGAAGATAACAGCCTCCCTTTGCAGTTGGACTCAAAGCCACCTCTCATCTCATCTTCTTCCTCCTTCTTCTTCTAAAAACAACTACCGCTCCGCTCTCAGGAAGTCCTGTATGAATATTAATATGGATGCAAACACGGCGCGAGGATGCCCAGCGCGTGAACCAACACAGCGCGCGGATATCTGCGCATTTTTGTGTTGACGTTTTTTTTGTTTTTTTCTTCTTCCCCCTCTCTCTTCATGCCTGAACCGAGAGCGTGTTTCTTTTGCGGAGGTCGTGTAGGAGGCTTTTTTGAAGCCCACGAGGATGTCGTTTCACCTGAGTGTTTGCAGAGGACCGTTTTGTAACGTCGCATTGAATTGCATCATGGTTTTCAATCAGTTCTCACACCGGCCAGGCTACACCGAGCCTCGGTAGTAACAGTGCGCTGTTTATCATAAAAATGGAAGACCTTTCACGTCAAGAAAAGGCGTCATTCCGGTGATATGCGTCTGAATAACTGATTTTTCATTTCCACGTCAATTGACACATCTGGGAAAGCGTTTTTTTCCTTCCCTCCCGTCTACCAAGACAGCTGTGTCATCAACAACCGGCGTGGTGTTGTTGTTGTCTGATTTTTACGAGCCTGGGCAACTGGATATCGGCATAGTCTGCCTCTGCGCCAGCCATAGGCTACCCGGTTACTAAGGTAGGTTTCACACCTTCATTAATATTGTGTTTTGCTCCATAAATCACCGCATGAGTTGCTTACATCATCTAGCCCATATAACCAGCTGTCATAGTCAAAATGCACTGTCTGCCTAATTAGCAGCAGAAAATATGATGCTGTATTGCGGAGGAGACGTCGGGCCTGATGGCATTTTTACGCGTAAATTTCACGAAATCCAAGGCTGACAGTGAGCCGCCGTGTGTTCACAAGCCAAATTATTCAACCTTGAAGCCTCGCAGCCCGTGACGATGAATATAAGGCCTGTATTTTAGCCACAAACACAAAAGAGATGTAAAGATAATGGCAAGGACCGCCGCGCAGTGTAACCCACAGCCCGTGTTTAAGTTCAGTCGTGACAAGACCTTATAAATATTTCACCAAAAAACAAGAAGCCTCCATCAGCTGACTGGTGATGCTGGAAGCATGCACGGCGTTATTAATCAGACACCTACACCACAGCGGTGTCAGTGTTAGGAGGCTCGTTCTGCAAGGCCATGATGGAAAACATCTGCATGTTTACGGATAATAAGAGTACAGCAGGGGTTGTATGGCGTGTGTGTGTGTGTGTGTGTGTGTGTGTGAATGGGCGGTAGTAACTCTGATTGTGAATACACTGGTGGTGTGTGTGTGTGTGTTTGTGCGCAGCCAGGTGAGGATGTGGTGGCGCGTCTTTGAGGTGCGGGGAGGCAGGCGTCTGGGTGAGGGGAGCCAGTTCATTAGATGTGTCTTCTTTTTTTTTCAAATAAAAGGAAAGCCCATCAGATGATACCCAACAAAGTGCCGCAGTATCCCACCTTAGATCCTTTATAAGACGATCCAAAAGGGTCGAGGGGTTGTGAATTCAACCTGAAATTAAGGTTAGTCAACACTGTTTTTGTACGCCCCCCCCTTCCGCCCCTGCACCCCCCTTTTCCGGGCGTGACAGCCATTCAAAACGAGCATCACTCACACTGAGAGATTTTTTTTCTTCACCTCTCCACCACATGCTTATAGCAATTTCAATAAACAGTACTTATTAGGCTGCTGGAATGAAAGCGTTTGGTACAGTTGTTTCTTTGCCTGACTGGCTTTAATGTATCTTCCAATATTACTTGGAAGAATCAGGGAAGACTTGGCAGGGGATGTTATATCTATACTGAGTGGACATTTTATTTTGACAGAAGCAGTCATGTCAGTTAGTAGGCTATCTATTACAAAACAAATACAACATGAAAAAGGATCACAAAACTGCAAAGCCCACTGAATATTAAAGACCTCCCTGTGTGAGTATAGAAAGATAATGATGATTTGTCTTTTTGGGATGAATTGAACTGAAACATAAAATTAAACTAATTACCAGCCAGTCTCGCTTGACCTTGGAGGTGAATATGACACAATTCACATTGCTTTAAGTCTTGCTTAGGCTGACAGATGCAGATAAACTGGATGTGAGGTGTGACTGTCTTTTGTGCTGTTTGGTTTATGTTGGTACAGATAGAGGAGAGCAGGGATGGGTGAGAGCAGCTGTGACTTTGGGGTCATTGAGTGCAGGCAGCCACACATACTGTGCACCGTGTCTTGAATGCAGAAGAAAACCAGGGCTTGCACAAGCTGTCGCTAAGTGTTGTTGCTCACCTGGTGATCCCAAAATTCAGTCCAGAAATCTTTTATAATCGGGAAACAGCAACTCTGTGTGGCAGCTCGGTCGCTTTGTGCCGTGCGTAGAAATAAATGGAATTTGAAACCTTTATTCCTTGAGGATTTATCCTGCTAAATCAAAATGTAGAGCTTCTAAAATATATGAAAACCAACCACAGACTTTGGTTAAGAGTTAATGAAATTGGGCAGAGCTTATAGGAAGAATAAGAAGTGACTAGTGTTTTCAATAAAGGAGAAAGCATTCTGACTATACTTGAGCTTTTCTCCAGGAAGTGGATGATTCAGATGCTCTGACTGGCTTTGTACATCATGTCTGATTCCAAAAAAGGATGAGAAATTCAACTTGGAAGATTGAATACACAAATATACTGAGAGGGTGAGGGAAGGCCCACACAGGGGACTGATGGATGTGCGACACACGTGGCAGATGCTGACATTTTAAGCCCATTTCTCTAGTTGAGTGGATACCCCTGTCTGGATGAGCAGTAATGGATTTTTGTTTTGTTTTTTTGGATGTGTATTTTCTGGAGCACAGGTTGTTTCCATGGAGTTTGAGCAGCAGCAGGTCAATAGGTTGGTAAAAGTAATATAAATGGCTACTACTGACCAGTTGTGCAGGTATATTTATTGTAAAATCAGTACCACCGTGGACATGTTTGTCTGGCTTTTAGTGTATATTGTTATTTTCTTTAAAGGGGGAGCATGTGCTTCTTCCATCTGTGGTTTCACCATCTTGATTCTCTCAGCTCTGTCAGAGAGAGATGGCATCAGAAATGACGGAGGGAGACATGCAGCATGTGAGCACTGTGAGTGACTGCTATCAGTTGAAGGATTTATAAACTTGGCTTCTGGCCCGTGATCATCACAGTGGATACATTTCAGGTTAATTGTTTTGAGAATGAATTTGCTTTGTTTGCTCTGAGAAGAAAAGATGACTTTTTAGCTCAGAGGCAGTTAAAGTTTGTCCCTTGGGGTTTTGGATTGAATTTTGCCACAGTTTTCTCTCCCATCACTAGGCTTTACTGCTTTGTACTTTATGCTGAGTATATAACATTCAGCCTGCTAGAGCTGAAAAGATTAGTCGATTAAAGGATTTATTAATTGAAATAATCAGCATCTTTTTTGATAATTGAATAATTGTTTCATTCATTTTTCAAGCAAAAATTGTGAAAAAATGCTGCATATTCTCATGTTCCACCTTCTCAAATGGGAAGATTTACTTTTTATATGTAGTAAACTGAATAACTGGGTTTTGGGCAGACAAAAAAAGACATTTTAACTTTTGACATTTCATATACAAAACAGTCAACATATCTGAAAAACAGATGAATTCTTTCAGATTAATCGATAATGAAAATGATAATGACCACATGACGGGTTTGTGTTTAAAAATGACTTGTATCCGTGTAACTCCAATTATATTAATGATAGTATTTCTGTTTATATCTGTGATGGGATCAGTAACCGCTCTGTGACTTTGAGTGAAGTTTGTATTGTTCCTCTTTATGTGTGTAGAAGTTGGCCTGTATGGAATTGTATATATTATGGAGGCATTAGCTGAGTGCTGTGACATTTTTTTTAATCAGCAGGTTGGTTAATGTATTGATAAAGCAGTACACACCTCCAAGGGGTGGCATTTTCGTTGTTTTATTTTGCTATTAAATTTCCTTGTAAACCAACCATATAACACTTCTAATTTTTAGAAAAGGAGTTAGCAAAGCTGATTCACATTTTGTCTGAAAGAACTGAGAACATAGTATTCGGAATACAGCAATTGTTTTACTACACTTTCACAACATTGGGAGACTAACATTAGACATATTACAATATATTGGTTTAAAACTGAAAGATCAGAGGCAGACGTGTCCTAACTTTTATCCCTTGTATGACTGAATCCTACACATGATGCACCAGTAGCATCTCTTTGTTAGACACTCCCTTCCTGGTAAACTTCTTGCCCCTAGTTTGTATTGATGACATCAGTATGACATCATCAGAGTTATTTTCTTGACAAAGCTCCTTGGAAATCCACAGATGACATCAGACTCAGATCTCAAATCGTCTGTCACTAATGTAGGTCAAATTGATTTAATTACCTAAACTACCTTTTTGTATTGTATTTTTATTGTGTATTAACATGGAATCATCATAATGACGTCTGCTGTTGAATCAACTTATTTATTATTTATATATCATTTTTAGTGGTTTTATTTCATATCATATCATATCCCCAGTTCTCGTCAACTTTAACATTAAACCCTGTGTTTCTTATGGATCAAACCAACTTGAGTCAGTCACAGTGTTGAGTTATAAATGCGTCTAAAGGTGTAAAGGTTCTCTCTGGTAACTTCATGATTAAAGGGCATGCCATTTACTAGGGATGTCCTGTCCTAGAAAACCTGCCTTGGACATTGTTAGATGTCATCCCCCTTTGTCTTCTGTCTTTCCTGCCTCTTAACTAGTAGACTGTCTCGCAAAGAGGGGAGGGGGGTGAATCCCATTAGACTTTTTCAGCTGTGTCTCCCACTCTAAACTCCCTCTCCCTAAATAGATATCCTACAGGCATACAGATTGCTCACTCTCCTGTGGAAATGGTTGTCATTCTTTTGTCTCATAGCTTCCTACTCTTTTTTAAAGTGATGCACTGGATGCAGGGACTAAATAAAGGGAAATCATGGCAAAATTTAAATGGACTGACTCCCCCTGCACCCACTGACGGAAGAAGAGGAGATTATGTTGCTCCACAAATTACCTCTTGGTACTTTATTTGGGATCCCCCTCTGCAGCCACATTGTAAGATGCTATGGCCCGTTGGGTACTCCACACTTTAAAAGATCATACATGCATGTCCCTTGTCTGACCACAGGATGTCTGGGATGTATATGGACAAATTAACCAGACACAATTCATATGAAATGCTCCCTTTTAATGCTTCATTTCTGGATTCTAAGCATCTTACAGCAGCCAGTCTTCATTGCTGTGTGTAGTCAAGAGTAATGATGTGTGGTAATGATTTCCTTGAGGCAACTCATCTTTGTTCATTTCCCTTATGTTTTCTCATTAAACCCTTCAAAGCCATTTGCATGGTACCATGCAAAATAAATAAAGTTAGGAGCCAACAGTTACTCCTCTCTCGTTGGCACAGAAGTCCCAGTCTCAAGCCATGTTAATCACCACCTGTTTCTATATCTATGCAGTATCTTCCACATGGATAAACATGCAAGTATTAGGGACAGAGAGCAAATATGTTTACATATGTCGTTTTTTGGGGGTTTTTTTGCTTCTTAGGAAGCCCTTTGCAAAGTAATTTCAGCATCATTATGTGAGAACAGTAATTGGCA